ATGTCTCATGAATGGTTTTTCAGTGTCAGTAAGTAGACCACAATCAGACCAAGCACATGGGAACCTGGTGCCATGATTGAGAGCCATGAGAAACGTGTGCAGAGGCATCGAAGTGTACTGGAATTCTCTGACATGGATTGTAAAAAGCTTGCTGTGCTCCAAGACAGGCTTGGAAATGCTGATAAGCCAAACAAACTTCTACCTAGTACCAAGTAGAACTTCTGGAAATGAAAAAAATACAACCTTCAAACTAAACACTCTAGGAATAGTTTGGCAGCCACTCTTAGACACTGCTGAAGAGAAAATTTGTGAACTAGAAGATAAGTTAAAAGAAATGATCCAGGCTGCAACCCAGGACAACAGATAGAAAATAGCATCGGCAGCTGAGGGGGGGACCCGGGTAAGAGCCTGGCGGGGGCTGTACTGAGGCCCACGGGAGCCCATCAGGCGCGGGGTGAGCAGTGAGTAGGTGCAGCAGGTATAGCAGGTGTCATGGGTGGGGCTGGGTTGCCCAATCACTTCTGCAGGAAATGTCCCACAGGCCTGCCCCTTCCTGGTTGTGCTGGTGTGTTCCCCATACTCTGGGGAAGCCCCTGTAGCCTCGGGGAGATGCATCTGGCTTGGAGTCTCACAGGACATAGGCCTCTGTGCCTGTGTAAGGGTGTGCGGCTGTTGGAGGTGGAAGGGTGGCACTCACAGGGCATGTGTGTGCCACGTGTGCATAGGTTGAGTTGAGAGCCTCTGCAGCTGCCCGCATATGTCCGTCATGGGCAGGCCTGCTTCTCCCCACCCTGAGCTTGCTGTCCAGTGTCCTGAGCCCACTGGGAGTTCATGGCCTCCCTCCACCCCATACTCAGTCCTAATCCCCACTCAGGTGACCTTGTGCCTTTTCAGGCCTAGCTGGTGCCTGGCCATGGCCAGCCCGTGTGGATGGCAGTGCCAAGAGGTCCAGGCCCAGCTGGCAGGCTTCCTGCTCACCATCTCATGCCACGCCAGGGCGGAGGATGGGGCTTTTCTTCATCTCAGTGCGACCGCCCTGTGGCGTGATCATGAAGCCGGCTGGGTTCTGGCCCAGCCTCCTGGGGTGAGCCTGGCAGGGCCCACCCTTGGCCCCTAGACCACCTCCACGCCGCCAGAGTGCCACTCACCTGCCTCACACAGTTTGCTATGCTGAGGCCAGGGTCCACAAGTGAGGGTTAGGCCTGAGGGTTCATCCTGCTGCCACCAAAGCCTTGTTCCCTGCGGGAGGGTGGGTGGCTGCCCCTAGAGAGGGCGCTGTGTGGTCAGCAAGTCCAGCGAAGGCAGGCAGGCTCCCCGGCACCCCCAGGCTGGGGCCAGGCTCCTGGGGCCTCTCTGGCTGTGGCTGCAGGAACCGGTGGCCTCCCCGACTCTGGCCGCTGGGCCTGGGACCCCCTCTGCTCTTGTCTGTTCCTCAGGACTCGCAGGCGTGCCCTGCCACCTGTCCTGGCTGCCAAGTTCCTGGAGCCGCTGTGTCCTCCACTGCTGTGAAGTGGGGGGAACCCTGGCCTCAGTGGAGGTCCCCTGTTGACGGGTCAGTGCTCTGACCCACCGTGCAGGGGGAGATCTCCTCTGTCACTGGGGTGCATGTCACCAAAGTGGGCTCCTGGGCCGCCCCAGGCCTGGTGGGCAGTGAGCTTGGGGGATACCAGGCTCAGAGGCACATGAGGAGGGGGCAGGGCCTGTCGCCACACTTTGGAGCTGCTCCCAGCTGGGCCCATGGGCGACCTGGCTGTTGGTTGTGTGGCCTGAATGGGAAGGGTCTGGAGGCAGAGGGAATTTTGAGGTGGCCACTGTGGCTCCAGGGGGGTGCCTGGCTGAGGAGGCCCTGGGCAGCAGGTGCTCACTTAGGCAGAGGACACAGGGTGCCACCACTGTTGAGGCAGAGTGACCAGTGCACAGAGGCCAACCTGCAGGCTGGATGGTGTGGGCAGGCCTCGTACACGCATACCCTGGAGACGCCCACCTCCCTGGGCTGCCACACCATCACAGCAGGGAGCAGCACATCCCTGCCTGGCCTGGCCCAAGGGGTGCATCCTGACTGTGTCATCTGACTCAGTTTGGGGTCAAGTCACAGCAGGGGCCTGCTGTGGGTGCAGGGTCCCTCTCAGGCTGTGAAGCAGCGCCTCCCACACCCACTGCTGCCAGGGCCGCCCGCTGCATCCTTGGTGCTCGGCCCTTGGGACTGCGCCTGCTGGCTCTGCTTGGCGACAGCTCTGACTGCCACGTCTCCGAAGAAACCGGGCTGCCACGTCTCTGAAGAAACCGGGCCCCAGGGCACAGAGAGGAGATTCCACACAGAGCCTGGTCCCTGGGGCGGCCAGACCCATTAACCCCTGCAGGCCAGGCAGCACCACCGGTGGTGTGGGGCTCCTGATGGCCACAGGCCCAACTCCAGCTGCCCCAAGATCTGGCAGGTCTCGCCCCTTCTCCATCAGACCCCGAGACCCAGGTCTTCCAAGGGGACCCCGATGTCAGCAGGGACCTGTGAGGGTTTTGGATGGAGAGCATCTAGATGCCAGGGCTTGGAGTTCTTTATACAAAAGGGGAAACTGAGGCCTGGGAGGAAGGGACCTGCTCTGTGACATTCTTCATGGCTCCCCAGCCCTGGTTGATTCAGGGGCTAGAATTTGGGTCTTGGGGTGGCATTCTCAGAAAAGGGCAGCCTCCAGGAGGCATGGAGCCAGGGGAGGGCTCGCTGGGGACAGTAGAGTCACAGCGGCTCCAGGTCGGTGGCAGTGGAGTCAGTGCAGCTCTGGGCTAGGGGGCTGGGGTGGCAGCCGGGCAGCACGGGGGCCTTCTCCTCTGGTCAGAGAGGCCCTGTGGAGTGTCTGCAAAGGCAGAGGCAGGGGCCCCAGGAAGCTCACTCTAGGCTGGAAGGGGTGGCCTCTGCGAGCCACCTGCTCAGCTGCAAGGTTGTCATCCTGCTGTGGATCTGGGAACTGGGAAGTGCTTGCTTGAAATCCTTCCACGGAAGAAGGAAGCCCACATGGTGAGGAGGATTCTAGAATCACGGAGGAGGCTGCCAAGAGGCCCCTGGGGCTAGACAATCGACATCCTTGCTCTGACGGAATGACCAGCTCGTTTCCTTGTCCATCACAGGTTTTGGGGGGCCCCAGGGGGCCTGACCCCAAGGACTGGCAAGGACACATGTGTCAACCATGGACAAGGCAGAAATGAGTCCTGGGAGAGCTCCCAGGCCATGGGACACATCACTCAGGCGGGAGGCCTTGCATGGGCAGGGCTCCGCAGCCCAGGGTCCTGAAGACAGCCTCCCTGCACAGTGGCCAGGAGTACCCCTGGGCCCCGCAGCCCTCACTCCACACTTTCCCATTTCCACAGATGGATCCGGTCCCTGCACCTCCACACCTGTCCCACCCCACATCTGCAGCTGAGCTTCTCGCTGTGCAGAGAGAAGCTCACATCCTGGGCCACGAAGCCCCCAGGGCCCTTGCTGCCTCTGTGCAGGTCCCCGGGGGCTCGGCCTGTCTTCCCTCCCCACGTGCGGCGGAGGCTGCTACGCCCTCCACTCCTGCAGGCCTCTGGAGGCCAGGACCCTCCCAGCCACACAGACCATGACAGCCCTGCGGGGCTGGGAAGCCAGAGATAGGCCCCACCTGGGCCCACAGCGTGGCGCTGCAGAGGTGTGGCCACGTGCCTCATCATCAAAGATGTTCATGTGACGCGATCAAAGTGTGGCACAAAATGGCTTTCTGGAGCTGGAGCCCTGACGTCCCAACAAACTGGGCAGCAAAACAGAAGAACCGGGGGAGCTGGTACAAGGACCTGCTGGAGGGCCTGGAGCCACTGGGAGAGGAGACTGGAGACACAGCCTCTGGGTAGCAGGAGCTGCAGAGCGAGGGGAGAGCATTACACGAAAGAGCATTTCTCTGAGCTAAGTGGAGACCCGAGCCAGCTGACTGAGGCCCCGGCTTCAGGCTGTGCTGGTGGGAACCTGGCGCCGCGGCAAGGCCTGGGGAAAGGGAGAGCTTCCAAAGACACAGGCAGACCATCCGTTAAGAGAAAAGAAAATGGACGTGTGGTGAACCAGTGTGGCGGGTGCCACAGAAGGAACCCCCGCCCCACTGTGGGTCGCGGGCTGGGGCACATCAGATCCTGCGGAAGGAAGGCAAAGGCACCCGTCCCTTCGGCAGGCGCCTGGCAAAGCCACCAGTGTCAAGCACGGGTGCCCTTCAGTGCAGCAACCTGGAGCATCAGCCACGAGGGACCCAGGCCTCAGAGGGCTGCAGCTGCATAGCCAGGCTGGCAGGGACCAGGCGCCAGACAAAGTCTGCCACGGGAGAGGCCATGGGAGAGGCCACAGGGGAGGCCCCCGGGCTGTCGGGAGTGCACAGGCTCACAGAGCGAGCACACTGCTGCAGACTGCTGAGCTGTTGCACTGTCGGGAGGAACTGGACAGGAGGAATTCAGAACCAAGGCACCGTGTGATATGGTCTGTACTTGCTTTTTCTTTCTTTTTTTTTTTTTAAGATGGGGTCTCACTCTGTTTCCCAGGCTGGAGTGCAGTAGGGCGATCTTGGCTCACTGCAACCTCTGCCTCCAGGGTTCAAGCGGTGCTTCTGCTTCAGCCTCCCAAGTAGTTGGATTATAGGTGCCGAATTTTTTGTAATTTTCGTAGAGACAGGGTTTCACCATGTTGGGTCTGGTCTCGAACTCCTGGCCTCAAACGATCCACCCACCTTGGCTTCCCAAAGTGCTGGGATTAGAGGCGTGAGCCACTGTGCCTGGCCTCTGTGCTTGGTTTTTGTTGGGGTTTCTTTTGTTTTTACTTTCTTTGTGGAAAAATACACATAATGTTACCATTTTAATCACTTTTAAAAATTACTATTTTTAGCAATGGAGTCCCACTCTGTCGCCCAGGCTTGAGGGCCATGGTACGATCATGCCCACTTCAGCCTTGTCCTCCTGGGGTCAAGTGATCCTCCCACCTGAGCCTCTGGAGTAGCTGGACTACAGGTACACACCACCACGCCCAGCTAACTTTTTAAAAACTTTTTTGTAGAGATGAGTTCTCCCTATGTTGCCCAGGCTGGTCTCGAATTCCTGTCCTCAAGTGATCCTTCTGCCTCAGCCTCCCAAAGTTCTGGAATGGTAGAGTGGGCCACTTCCCTCAACCCCATTTTAAACCTTCTTATGTATACAGTTTAGTGGCATTAGGTACATTCAACTGTTATGCAGCCATCATGGTTGACCTTTAACATTTATTTCTTTTCTTTTCTTTGTTTTTTTTTTAGACAGGGTCTCACTCTGTTGCCCAGGCTGGAGTGCAGTGGTGTGATCATGGCTCACTGTAGCCTCAACCTCCTGGGCTCAAGGGATCCTCCTGCCCCAGCCTCAACCTCTCGACTAGCTGACACCACAGGTGAGTGCCACTACACCTGGCTAGTTTTTAATTTTTTGTAGAGATGGGGTCTCACAATATTGCCCAGGCTGGTCTCAACTCCTGGCCTCAAGTGATTGTCCTACCTCGGCCTCCCAAAGTGTTGGGAGTACAGGCATGAGCCACTTCACCTGGCCTAAAAAATTTTCCGCTGTGGTAAATACACATAAAATATCTCTCTTAACCATTTTTAAGTGTAATTCCACAGTGCTAAGCCCATTCACATTGCTGATCACATTGCGTCTCCAGAAGTTTTTCATCTTGCAGATCTGAAGCTCTGTCCCCATTCAACACCAACTCCCCATTCCCATCTCCCCACAGCCCCTGGTGCCCCCCATTCTACTGTCTGTCTCTATGAGTTTGACTACTTTGGATGTCTCGTGTAAGTGGAGTCAAGCAGTGTTTGTCTTTCTGGGCCCTTTGTATTTCACTTGGCTTCATGTTCTCAAGGCTCATCCACGCTGTTGCATATGGCAGAACTTCCTTCCTTTTTGAGGCAGAATCATAGTGCCTGGGATGCACAGACCACACTTTGCTTATTCAGTCATCTGTTGATGGCCCCGGCTCATGACTACTGTGTCTAATGCCGCTGTGAGCATGACTACAAACATCCCTTCGAGACCCTCCTTTTGGTTCTGCTGGGAGTACACCCAGAAGCAGAATTGTGGGATCCACTGTGTGGTCATTCTGCTTTTAATGTTTTGAGAAACTGCCATGCCTTTTTCCAAGACAACATTCCCACCCGCAGTGCATAGGGATTCCAGTTTCTCCGTAGCCTCAATTTGTTATGATGTTTTGTTTTGTTTTGTTTTTAGTAGCAGCCATCCTATTGGGTGGGAGGTGGTGTCACATTGTGGTTTTGATTTACATTTCTCTGATGATTAGTGATGTTGAGATGATCTGTGTTCTTTTTTTTTCATCATATTGGCCAGGCTGGTCTCGAACTCCTGACCTCATGATCCACCCACCTTGGCCTCCCAAAGTGCTGGGATTTATTATTTTTTTGAGGCAGAGTCTCACTCTGTGGCCCAGGCTGGAGTGGTGCAATCTCAGCTCACTGCAACCTCGCATTCCCAGGTTCAAATGATTCTCTTTTGTCAGCCTCCCAAGCAGCTGGGATTACAGGCACCTACCACCATTCCCAGCTAATTTTTCTATATTTTTAATAGAGACGGGGTTTTGCTATGTTGGCCAGGCTGGTCTTGAACTCCTGACCTCAGGTGATCTGTCTGCCTCAGCCTCTCAAAGTCCTGGGATTACAGGCATGAACTATCATGCCTAGCCAAATTTTATGCAATCTTTAAAATACATGAATAACATGTCCATATAAACTAGGTTTAGAACAGGTTTTAATATAGCAAAGTTATGACTGATCCTTGGTTTTTATAAATTTATATCATTTTGGAACATTTATATCAATAATATACCCATAAATATAATTGAAAGAAGGTCTAGCATCACTTACCATTCGACAATGTTTCCCATACAATTTACCACATAAGCCTAATCATGTAATTAAAAAAGTCTTACTTTAGGATTTTGGTCCTGGAGAAACCTCTAAAAAATGTCAAAAGGTTTAAAGCACTTGGTTGAAACAGAATCACAGGTCATTTAAAAATAATAGTTATTTGTTTAACCAGAGTGATAATTAAAAGACCTCAAAGGCAAGAAAAAATTTATATGGATGTAAAAGCCCTAACCCTTTTAAAGTTCAGTTCTTCTAAGTAATCAAAAACCTAATAAAGACAACACAGGAATTATCTTGACAAAATGTAAACTCTTGTGTGTGTGTTTTAGGCCAGTGACTACAAAGGTAAAGAGAAACCTCCTGTAATGTGTGATTGCTTCTCCTTATGGGAAGCCCATTTAGGTAACCTAGAAATCAAACCTCATTAAGAAAGGGTATTTGAACTTAATCAGACACAGGAATAGTGTGTCCAGGGTAATGAGTATACACTACATTATAGGGGAATGTAAACAAGAAAACCAGTACCTTAAACAGGGGAATACATGGCTCTTAGTAACAGCAAGGGAAGTATCCTGGTTACATTGAACAATTCAGACATATTAAAAAAAGCTAACCAGGCACAGTGGCTCACGCCTGTAATTCTAACACTTTGGGAAGCTGAGGTAGAAGGATCCCTTGAAGCCAGGAGTTTGAGAACAGTCTGATAAACATAGCAAGACCCTATCTGCACACACACACACACACACACACGCACACAAAAGAAAAAAAAGAAAGAAAAAGAAAAAGAAATAAAAGCCAAATGTGATCAAGCCACTGCACTCCAGCCTGGGTGACAAAGTGAGACCCTATCTCTAAAAAATAAAAAGAAAGGAAACAAAGAGAAAAGCCAACAGCACAGAATCAAATTACACTGGAGGAAAACATTGCTTTTCTAGGCTGACAAGATAAACATTTAAGCATCAGATCATAACAGCAAAGTTAGAACAGGAGTTGATGAAAAGATTGAAGGAGAGAGTTATAATCCCAGCCAAACAAAAAGATATGCTTTTTCAAAGGGGAACAGAACAGAAGGCAATGATATATGACTGCACATCACATACAGTGAGGTATGGCAAAAGTTAAACTTCTGAGATATAAATTTGAGAAGTTTAAAAAAAGAAACAGATAAGAACCAAAGCCTCTTGTAATTTTATTAAGAGCAAATCAAGATTTTAAGAAAACTTTGTTCTAATACAGGGAGCCAATTTTTAGTTTCATAGTAGTGTATTTTTAATATCAAAGCTCAAAACTTAGAAATATTTTATAAGTAATTATTTAAAATCATAACTAACTTAATCACATGCAAAATTCCCTTTATAAAATCTTATTTTCATGATCCTTATCACAACTTACACAGGCCATTTAAGTCATGCGTGGACTTTTTGCTTTGTCCTATAATCAGTCATTTTCCTTTGGACAAAAAATTCACTATACAAAATTCTTTCTCATACAAAATTACTATTTCTCTATCTCTCTTTTTTAACATTTATTACCAAAAATACAACTTCATACCCATAAGCTTCTTTACATCTGTCCCTCCTATGTACTGGCTTCTTTTAATTTTGTTTCATATTTTAAAAAAATAACCTGAAAAATCAGACAAAAATTATTTTTCCTCAATAAAGAACACATTTTTATGCCTTTTAAATAATTTTTAAATTAAAAACATATTTTGGCACATTTATATACAGAATTATATATAAATTAGAATTTTTAAAAATTTTTGAAATGGAGTCTCAGTCTTGTTGCCCAGACTGGAGTGCAATGGTGTGATCTTGGCTCACTGCAACCTCCGCCTCCTGGGTTCAAGCAATTCTCCTGCCTCAGCCTCCTGAGTAGCTGAGATTACAGGCACACACCACCACACTCAGCTAATTTAAAAAATATTTTTAGTATAGATGGGGTTTCACTATGTTGGCCAGGCTGGTCTTGAACTCCTGACCTCAGGCAATCTACCCACCTTGGCCTCCCAAAGTGCTAGGATAACAGGTGTGAGCCACCATGCCTGGCCTAGAATTTTTAACTCTTAGTAAATTTAAATTTTAGTAAAAACCTAGGAAGCAAGAAATCTTGAATTGTCTGTCACATATTAGAATTTTATTGATGAGAACTGTATTATATATATTTTTTGAGATGGAGTCTTGTTCTGTCACCCAGGCTGGAGTGCAGTGGCATGAGCTTGGCTCACTGCAACCTCCTTCTCACAGGTTCAAATGATTCTCCTGCCTCAGGTCCTGAGTAGCTGGGACTACAGGTGTGTGCCACCATGCCCAGCTAATTTTTGTATTTTTGTAGAGATGGGGTTTTGCCATATTAGCCAGGCTGCTCTTGAACTCCTGATCTCAGGTGATCTGCCCACCTCCGCCTCCCAAAATACTGAGATTTCAGGCATGAGCTACCATGCCTGGCTCATATTATAATTTTTAGAAACATGTAACATAATTTTTCTTAATTGGAAATGTAAAAAAAAAAAAAAAAGAAAAAAAGGAAATGCAGACATTTAATGAATATCTATTAATGAATTTAAGATTTCAAACATAAAAAATTTATTTATAGGCATTTATCCCATTGACATTTACTTATTTAGTAAATTGTTTTATTAGACATTTAAGATAATGTCTTTGCCTAGGTTAATTATAAAAACTGAGATATGAGACAAAGTGAATCATCATTTTATAAGTTATTTTCCTGCTAACCATTTTTACAGCCTGTGAGTATTAGATGTTCACCTAAGTAAGAACTTTAAAGTTAAATATATGGATATTTTTCTGATAACTCAGAAGATTTAGCTGTTTTTATTAAACCAATAATATTAAACAATTTTTCTCATAAAAAACTACACAAAGATCATTCTGTTTCTGGCTACGTTTATAGTTTTATAGTCTTTGTGCCAAACCCTGACACCTTAAAATATTTATCAGACTAGTATAAACCTGTCTGACCATTCAACCCAGACAAAAATGTATGCTGACAATTCTGAAGATGTTTCTATTTCTTATTTTACCACTAATTTCAAAGACAGTCTTGCTCCGTCACCCAGGCTGGAGTGCAGTGATTGATTTTTTTAAATTTAATCAACAATCATGGCGACCA